ACTATGCCCAGCTCATCAAACTTTTCAAGTGCTGTGTTTCTACAAGAATTAAAGACATTGATTAATTCTATTTTAGTTTTTGTATATACATGTAGATTAGAAGGCAAAATTCTATTTTTTAAAATTTAAGGCCACTGAAAATTATCATTGATACTTGACAGTTTGTTACACTATGTTTAAATAATGTTTCTGAAATAAGACTTTTGTTAGAAGACAATAAATCTGTTGCTATGCTGTGGACAGTGATTTCAGCACTCCATATAAATGGAACAATTAGGTTCTTTTGTTTCGTGTTTTTTTTTTTTCTTTTTCATGAAGATGTATTGGCACTTCTCAAATTACAGGTCAACTGACCTTAGTAGGGAATGGTCAACAGGAATGATTACAAATCAAACTAATTGTGTCCTAAACAATATCACATATTTTCAAATCAGTCACTCTAGTCCAAAAGAGAAGGAGGAGGAGGAACTGAAACATGATTCTCTTCTTTTCTAGATTGGCATTGAGGCAAAGGTTACTGTGTTCGGTCCATCAGAGAGCCATGTGAAGAACCATGCCTCAGCGCTTTCCTGAGAGCCAGTATATATACAGAGCAGTCCTAGAACTATCTAATTGCAGGCCTCAGTCTGACCTAAAATCAATGATTGAGTATTCTTATTTAGTGCTTGGATGTAGGATTCCTCTAATGCTCAGTGAGAAATTTCTCAACCATATGCCGTGAAGTACATGACAAATCTATCTTCGGCCTGTCTTATGAAAAACACTGACAAAATTGCCCTCAAATTCTTAGCCAACATAATGTTTCAAACACAGATGAGCATTTCAATAATAGCTTAGGATAATTGTATCAACCAGAAATATGAAAATATCAACTGCAAGTATGAAATTCTCAAATTCAGGTACAATATTTTAAAATTATATATTGAAATGATGAGTTAATGATTATTTTGAAGAGCTGGGACACAAGCCAATACAAAATGTGTAATTTAGATGTAAACACAGACAGAATAACACAGAATCAGACAGCAGCATATCAAATGGACAGCGTGCAGCACTAACCTACAACATTCTTTTTAGTTTTCTAATAAAACCTTGAAATTACAGGAAAAATACTGAATACTAATATTACACACTGCTTAGAAGTTAAATATTTTCATTACATATACAATAAATTGAATTTTTATTAAATATTTAACATATAAGACACTGCTAAGTAAAATATTCTCAATTCAAAACATAATACTTAAAGTGATTATATATTAAAATGATGAGTTATTAAAATGGTATGTGTCTTCTGTATATTTTCCTCAGTTTATTTTGTAGTCTTCTATACAGGTTCTGTACTCTTTTTTTTTTTTTAATAATCTGCTTAACATTTTCAGTGGATTTTAATCTTTACTTCTAAGAGGTTTTTCTTCTTTTTTTCTTATTTCTTTAATTCATTATAGAAATGATAGTCTTCAATATAACACTTTCTCTGATAATTTGAATGATAATACCCCACACACACACCCCAAACTCATGTATTTGAATATTTGGTCCCCAGTTGTCAGAATAGTTTAGGAAGGACTAGTAGGTATGGTCTACTTAGATGAGATCCGTCCCTGGAGATGGGCTTTGAGTTTTCGAAAGTCTAGGATCATTCCCAGCTAGCTTTCTCTGCATTGCATTTGTGTCTCAAGATGAGAATGCCTAGCTAACTGCTCCAGTGACATGACAGTCTGCCATGCCATGACTGTTATAGACTAAACCTCTGAAACCTTGAGACCCAAATAAAATTTATTTTATAAATATCCTTGGTCATAGTGTCTTACCACAGTAATAGCAAAACAACTAAAACATTTTTCATATATGTGTAACATATACTCCATTCTGATTTATATCCTTGTCTTCATTAGAGTTTCTATTGTTGTGAAGAGACACCATTTCCATGGCAATTCTTGTAAAGGAAAGCATGTAATTAGGGCTGCCTTGCAGTTCAGAGGTTTAGTCCATTGTCATCATGGCAGAAATCATGGCAACATGCAGGCAGACATGGTGCTAGAGAAAGACTGGGAGTTTTAAGTCAGGCTTGGCGGGTAGAAGCAAGAGAGAACGCCGCACTGGGCCTGGCTTGAGCATCTGAGGCCTCAAAGCCCATCTCAGTGACACATTTCCTCCTACAAAGCCACACCTACTCCCCAAAGCCACACCTCCTAATAGTGCCACTCCCTATGGGCCCATGGGGACCAGTTCTATTCAAACCACCACACCTTCATTATTACCGTCCTCACTCCCCACTCTAGCCTGCTTCCTCTCCCAAATAGTCCCTCTTCTTCTCTTACATGATACATATTCTTTAAATATAGGTTCTTTGCATGAGACATAAGTAATATTTGTCTTCCTGAGTGTGGTTTAGTTTACTTAACATGATGGTCTCCAGTCCTGTCCATTTTCAGGCAAGTTCAATGCTACCATTTCATCATCCTTTTGACTGAAAATTCAATTGCTACTATATATAAATTGTAAATTGTAAATAGTACAGCAATAAACATAAATTCTCAGGTACCACTTTTAAATGCTAATTTAGACTCCTTTTGGTATTTATTTTCCTATAAATGATATAGCTAGGTCATATGATAGTTATTTTTTTAGTTTCTGGAGGGACTTCCACATTGATTTCCATTGTGATTGTATTAATTTATATTCTCACCAGCAGCACATAAGGGTTTCTTCCTCCCACATCCTCACTAAAAATTGTTCTTTTTAATTAAAATATTTTTCATGCAGTATACTTGACTATATTTTTCCCCTCTACAACTCCTTCTAGATCTTCTCCTCCTCCCTGCCCACTCAAATCCATGTTCTTTCTTTCTCTTGTTTTACGTTGTTGCTTATCTTCCTAATGACTTCTATTTGACCAAGGTGAGGTAGAATCTCCGTGAATTTGATTAATATTTCTCTGATGTCTAAGAAATCTCCAGCAAAATTTTAGGGCAGAAACAGAACAATAGGCAGGGAGTAGGGGGTGTTCAATAAATGAAATATTGATGGATTCTATTTCCTAAGCACCACATTATTTAGGCAAATACCTTACTTGCTTTAATACTAACATTGTTTCTCTGCATCCAGATGACTACCATCTTTGGTTCTAACTGAATTCCCCCCTCCACCCAACAGAAATAAATACCACATATGAAATGAAAAAATTTAAAATTGTAATACAATTCAATAGCAGGATCCCCACCAACACTTCGAATGGCACACATACACACACAGAAGCATCGGACTCCTCTGTCTTCCAACACTGAACTGGAACTGTGAAGTGGGTGTGACCTGCCTCAACTCAGCTACTAAACAATGAAACAGGAATAGCTCACAGATGTTCTGAGATTTCATTTCTCTGCTCCCTTCTCATTTGTTTCTCATGGTGTCTGCACTATTTGACTCCTCTAGTATTTGAACCAAATTCTTTATTGTGAATCTGCCTTTGTTACACTCCCTGGAGTGTATGACACAAATGATTCTTTGTTATATTGAAAACATACAGACAGAATAAGTGAAACTTTTGTCTATAAGAGGCATAATCTATAATCAAGACATCTTTGGGGGATATATTTTTAAACTTTTTTATATTTATTTATTTATTTATTCATTCAGTATGAGTTTGAGTGAGTGAGTGTGTGTGTGTGTGTGTGCGTGCACATGCATATGCGGGTGTATAAGATTAATTGGGGTCATAAGGTTGTGGCTTCAAAGGTTGAGAGGAAGAAATCTAAAAGGGAAAGTTATGTCTGTTGTATACAATATCAAGGACTTCTGTTAAGGAAAGAAATCCTCATTTTTGTGATGAGTCATCTTTTCACCAAGCATCTTTATAACATTTCAGTCTGTTATGCTTAAACTTAAAAATCATAAGGGCTGTTAGGTATCTGAGAGCCTAGCAACAAGGGGATTGTTTTAAGCCGTTTGTTACTTTGCTTGTAAAACAAAGTCCTTTATATAGAAATGGGAAAAACAAAACTGTTCTCTTATGAATCTTCTAATTTATATTTCTGGCATTCACTCTTTTCTGGTTGAATTATTGTTAACATGTATACTTGTTTCTGAAGAGTTGTTCTTTGACTTGGTAAAACATATATTCAAAGTATACATATATTAACCTGGAACCCTTATATTAAAGTAATGAGATTATACTGAGAACTTGACAGTCAACTTAATGTAATTATATTATCATTAGCAAATATGAATAATACTACCTGTAGAATAAAAGTATTCTTCCAAGTTTGCATATATGAATAGCTTAAAAACAATCAAATAATCCTGGAGAGGTGTGTGTGTATGTGTATGTGTGATGTGCCTGAATTCCTTTTTAGCCCCTCTGTCCATAGGCATGTATTCTATAACCTCAGTGAATGGCTGAAGTAAAGGGTAGCACCAGACACTGCATATCCTATTTTTTTTATAAATATACTTTCTCATAATAGCTTAGATTATTTACTAGGTACAATAGGAGATCAACCATGAAGGTTCACCAATGAGTTCATCAACTTTTTCTGAAGGTTATGAAACATTTCAAAAATGTGCACATTTTCTGCTCTTCCCATTCCTATTCCACTCAGAAATTTATATACAAATGTTTATGGCCCTTTCATTCACAGTTGTCAATACTTGAAAATGAATTTGATGTGCTTAGAAAGGTAAATGGATAAACTATGGCAAAATAAATGAGATTTCAAATGAGATGTGATGGGAGAACCTTAAATTACATATTGTCAGGAGAAAGAAGCCAATCAGAAAAAGGCTACATATTGTATGATTCAATTTGTGTGACATTCTAGAAAAGGCAAAGCTATGGAAACAATGAAAATATCAGTGGACGCCAGATGCCCACGGGTGGGGTGGGGGAAGGACGGTGAGTAGGTGAACCACAGAGAATCTTTAGAACAGCCAAACTATTCTACATGACACCATAATGCTGGATATGAGTCATCATACATCTGTCAAAGCCCGTAGAATGAACAGCGCAGAGCCAGCTTCAGGATGCACTGTGGGCTTCGCCTGATAGCGCAGCGATGTTAATGTCGTCTCATCAGCCATGAGCAGCGCACCATGCCAACAGGCCATGCTAATGACAGAATTGAGGGGAGGGGAAGTGCTGAGTGAGTACATGGGGACTTTCTCTTCACTTGGAAAACATGAAACTATTAAAAATGAAGTTTATTAAAAAATAAAAATACAGTTGTGTTTCTAATTCCTGTTACCTAATATTGTGAAAGAGAAAACCAACCCATCTGAAAAGTAGTCTTTTCATTTTCATCTATACATTGGTTCATCTTAGCACTGTAGACTCTTTCAGCCTGTGATGTTCCAGTAAGAGATCGCTTTTCGTTACTTCAAGGTCAAGCTTCTATTTCTGTCTTCGATTTCATTTCTATAACATAAGCACCTCATAGCATCAGCACAGTTTCTGCCAGTAACAATGTATCTGTTATTTCTAGTCTTTTCTATTCAGTACATATCATAGATAAAATTATTGCCTTTAAAAGGAAAACTTAATTGCAAACATTATTATTTTGTCACCTTGGGCATTACTTCAACCTGAAAGTCTGCCTTGAGTTATTGTCTCTACTTTCTACCATTCCATCAGTTTCCATCACTCTACCTCTCACCTGACTATCATTTCAACAGAATGACTTTTTATGTCTCACAAGAACATAATTTGTCAACACTAAATATTTGAATTTTCAATTATTCACCAATTCATCCTCCTCTACATTCCATTATTTCAGTGATTTAATAAAAAGGAAAGTTTACCAAGGCTGACATGGTGACACATGTCAGTAATCTCAGCACTTGGGAGCCAGAAGCAGGTGGATGTATGTTAGTTCAAGGCCTACCTAGTATATGTAGTTCCAGTCCATCCCAAGCTATATAGTGAGAACCTTGTCTCAAAAAAAAAAAAACAAAAAAAAACCCACTGAGTGTCTCTTTTTGCGTGAAGTTGAGAAAGATGTTAATATATTCTTATTAACTCATGAGATAAATAGCTTTATAAAAGAAATATCAAATAGCCAAACAACCACATAGTCACAAACTTTAATGAGCCAGTTAAACAATACTCCATGGTCTAAGGTGAGAACATGTATGCCAGCTCACAGTATGTCTCAAACTTGGATAGGAGCAGAAATTACCTCATAGGATCTCACATTTGCCCATGTCTAAGTCCCACTCCCATAATCCTTTCGTGAGATTCTTAAAAGCACTGGTTCTTCAAGTGTGGTCCCTGGACCCACAGGAGCAGCCTCATCTGGGAACTGATAAGAAACCCACCGAAATGCTTCATAGCTTTCTAGACTGACTAAGTAAGATAATCTTGGTGGGGCCCAACAGTCTCCATTTTACTGAATCCTCCATATATAATTTTAATACTGCTCTAATTTGAGAATTGTTTGCGTGTAACCATTATGAGTTCCCGAATTTATTCAGAGATGGGAAGGGAAGGATGCATGGTTCTCCTTGCACAATAAAAAATGTTGACTGCACATCGACTTCCCCACATGCATGCTGAAACGTTCACCCTGTGCTAAGAATATGAATTGTAATAACTTGGCAACTGATGTCTATGGTTTGACCTGAAGGACAGTCTCTTGCTGAAGACAGAGACCATTTTGGCTTTTGACTCAGAGATATGGAACCCTGTAGGACTTCATTAACAGTCAAGTAGAGAAAAATGAGATGAGGCTATAGACAAGAAGAAAAAGCATGGAAAGCTTTCTAAGCAATCCCAAATTCTGAGTGCTCTGTCAAAGGAAGTTTATAAATAGAGCTAGCCGAGGAGCAGTGTGACTACATATGCATGCTGAGCAATGACTCCAGCAACAGAGTTGAGAATAAACTATGAGAAAAACCGTGGTGAAACGAGACTAACAGGAGATTGCAATTGCCTAGGCAAGTATGTTAGTTCTTATACCACACAGTAAAATACTCTTCTATTTTATGGTGACAGGACATGCATATGTGCATTTGCTTTTTGATATCACGTACAGAAAGAACCAATACTTCTTTATTTGTTAACTATAAATTAAAAGGAAATGAAGATACGAATAAGACATATACAATTATTTTTATTATTATTGTGCTCGTGTGTACATGGTGCATGTGTATGTGAGTGCAGGCACCAATACCACAGCAAATATGTGGAAGTTGAGAGAAAAGCTTTGGGAGATTTCTGTAAATATATATTCCAAGAAGAGAGATGTAGAACGCTACTGTTATCTATATAAAGAATCATTTTGTGTTGCCATGAGAGGGAAGTATAGTATGATTGAGTATTGGAGACATCTTTTGTATAAGCAAATATAACACAAGATAAAATGTGATATTACTGTGCAAAAGAACATTGGGAAAAGATTGAGATTAATTCTATCCAGAAATATTAAGGAAGAATTTTCAGAAAACTGTCTAGCAAAATGAATAGAGCCATGTGCATGTATTCCCTGAGTAGCTATTATCATGTAATAATTGAAATCAGTCCTTATATTCCATATCATCATACATCTTACATGGTAATCCCTTAGTTTTTATGAGATTCATAGAATGTACTATTGTTCATATTATTATGTCTATATTATGGGTTTTAAATCCTTGCCCAAAACTTAATATATGTGTTTGCCTATCAATAAATAGTTGATAATTAATGTTAGTGGTCTATTTATGAAATTTTAATGGAGACATGTAAGTAAAATGAAAACATACAGTGAAATGTAAAGTATAATTCACACTCTATAGCCTATCAAAGCATACATTTTAAAAGTATTGATTTACAATTATTTTCAAAAAATATTGCTTAGTTAATAATAACTGTGTTTATGCAGTGTTTCACTGTAGAATTTGTTATGTTGTACACATAATTCAAAGGCAATGATTTACGTATGTATGTGTATGTGTTTCTGTGTGTGCAGACGCATGTCTGTACACAAATGCACATGTGTACACACACAGAGGTCAGAGGTCAACTTCAGATGATTTCTTAGCCACCATATGTCCTTTCTTCTTTTTTTGCAACAGCATCTGGCACAGGATTTGTACTTACCACACAGGCTAGGCTGGCTGGCCAGAGAGTGTCAGGCATCCTTCTGTCTCTGTGTACCCTGCCCTGAGATGGTAAATGTGTAGCAGCATGAGATGGTAAATGTGTAGCAGCATACCTGTTTTTTTAAATGTCCATTGTGGAGATAAAAAGCAGCCATCGTTCTTAGGACAAGCACTTTACTTACTGAGCCTTCTACTCAGCCCTTAGATGCATTAGTTAGAAAGCTTTAAACAAGATCTATTTTTTTCCTTCTATTATTTAAACGATTATGGCTTCATCCACTCGAGAGAGTTAAATCATCCAGTCATGTCTGGCATCAGGTTCCTGCCCATGACTGCAGCAGCCAAACAGCAGTAGGCATTTCTTCTCTTTGAGCAGTCCAACTCTTCTATGCAGCTAAGAGGACCTCTGGAAGCTTCTCCTGTTCTCATGAGGACGGTCCTTCCTGTCAAGACCATTTACGTAAAACATGGTGGTATGATTTTAGAGAAACGGAAAGAGTTAACGGGAGGAATCGATTGTATCTTATTGGGTGAGGTTTCCTGATTAAATCCATCACCAACCTCACTCTGAGCATGCATACCCCTGCATGCGCACCCACACACATCCTCACACACTACACTGACTCTCATAAATTACCAAAAAGGAAAAGGAAAAGTGGGGAAAGGGACAGGAAGGAAGGATTCGCTTCAAGAAATTTCATTTCCAGTAACTGAAGCCAAACATGCCTGACTTTTTCCATTATAGATGAGTTTTATTACCAGATGCCCCAAAATGACTTCCCTAATTAATCAATATTCCCATTGTTTTATTTTTTCTAGTTTCATTATTTATGCCCACGGGAGTGTTATGCACATTCTTAGCCATTTTGTGCAGATTCTTACATTGAAATACAACTACTGTCAAAAGGTAAGAATCCTGGTACCTAGTGGGCACCCAGCTGGATGCAGCTAGGATGTTATCTATTCCTGTTCTGGGGGGGGGTGTCTTGCTCTTCCCCAAGTAGTCTGACTACCTGAGCAGGGAACTTTAGAGGAGCTTAAGATCTATGCAGAAGGAAATGCCCAAAGTTATCTCTGAGCACTTCATCTAGATTTGTATCAGAAACAAAAGAAAAATCTGACCACATAAATCCATAGTTCCATTCTGGAAATTATTCTTATAATTCATCCTTGTGATGGGGTTGAATAGTCATTGATGTTGCTTTCATAATTCTATTTTATTTGGGATTTTAGTGAATGTAGATCAACAGGAGCTAGTTGAAGCCTGAGATCTTTACCAACATGTCTTCTCATTTAGCAATATTGACTATCTTCATATCTTCTCAAATCTTATATTAGTCAGTAAAATGTAAATTTTTTCATGAAATGAATATATTTATCATCAAGCTTTTAAATATAGCTTTTATAGCTTTATTTCATTTACATTTTCTCATAGTTTATATAAAAGCTATTGGTATAGACAAACTGAGTTTAAACCTGGATTAGGGATTTTATTACACGTAGGTTTTTGAAAACCGTGTGTGTGTGTGTGTGTGTGTGTGTGTGTGTGTGTGTGTGTGTGAGAGAGAGAGAGAGAGAGAGAGAGAGAGAGAGAGAGAGAGAGAGAGAGGTTCTTTTAGGGTATTTGTTCTGGGAGAGGAGTTATATGCTCTTTTTTATTCTATCCACCACTATGATTCAGTTCCCTGCCTTCCTCCCTCCCTCCCTCCCTCCCTGCCTCCCTCTCTCCTTCATCACTTTTTCCTTCTCTCTTGCTTTGCAGGGGTTGAACACTGTACATATTAAGCACAAGCTCATGAGTGCTCAGGACATGATCTACAACCAAATGCACCCCCAGCTCTAGCTCTTGAAGTAAATATTTTTTAATTAGGGATTTGGAGGAGGAAACTGATTGGGTGCTCACAGCCCTTGAGTTCACTGAGGACAACATGACTCTTTTGCAACCTAGTAACCACACTCATGTCCTGCTAGCTAAGTAACTGCATCGTGTCAGACTAGGAGATGTCACTGGTCAACTGAGCTATTTAAACACTTCAGGTCTGGAGAGGTAATGGTAATGCTTTCGTGGGGTGGGGGTGGGGGGATGGAAAGTTATGCAGTATAGCATTTGTTTTCACTGAAAGAGAAAAAGTAGTTTGCTCCAGTATTTCCCCCTCACTTTAAATCTATTTACCCAAAATATTTTCCCACTGCATATGAAAGTTACTATGGGCATAGGAATATGTGAATAAATATACATATATATTTATCATATGACTAAGAAACATCCAGAGTTTCCTTCAGGCATAGTGAGTCGATTTTCATCTTTTCTCTTCCTTCACAGCTTCTCCACAAATTGATCGTTTTTATATCTTTTTCACAGAGAAGACAAAGTTTATCACTGGTCACTTGTTACCATAGGTCTGATCCACAAGTTGAAGAGCCACCTTTTTGTGCCTCTTAGAGACCAATTTGCTTTCTAAATTCAAATATAAGAGAATATAACTTGGGACCTTTGTAGTTGGATGAGGCAGATAAAGTCAGGACACCTTCCCAGAAAAAGGGCCAAAGATGGGCCATAAATGATGTTTTCTGTTGGCTTAGTGGCGGCACATGAATCTATTGATATTTTAATTATCATCTGCAGCTCCATGGCCCCAGTCAGTGCCCCCACTGGCCACTCAGACTGCTGCCTGGCAAGCTTCTGGTACTGTGCCCAGAGTCTCTCTCATTCTCTTTATTAATAAGAGTAAGGAGTCCAAGGCTGGGGTGAAAACCTGCTAGCTCAGAGAGGTTGAGTTAGCAACTAGCTGACCTTGATCTTTGGCTGGAGACACTGCAACTACAAGAGACAGGTCTCTTCTGGTGTCCAAGAGCCAAAAAAGAGGTTCCAAACTCAAGTCTCTACCCTTTCCTTCCTGTGCATCTTCTCAATCCAAATTGCTGGCTTCTTTATGGACAATTTTGGTCAGCTAGTCACTAGCTCCGACCCCTGATTCAAGGTTTAACTTTACAGCAAGTCTTAGTAGTGTCAGAGTCTTATCAAAACATCCCACAATAGAAAGAGCAAAGGAGATCTTAATGAATAAAGTGCAAAGGGAGGTTAACACAGCTTGGAAGAGGGTAAGCTGGGGAAGAACAGGAACTGGTTGGGTCAAGGCTGTCTGTTGAGGGTTTGATTGACAGAGGCATCAGAAGAACATTCCGCATTAGCCTTGGGCATGACAACTGTGCTGTACGTACTTGAGTCAACTGAGGAGGAAATTGTTAACCACATTTCAGTTATTATTGGATTAACTTTTCAGTTAGTGGCAGTCTAGAGTAGCTTGGTATTTGGGATGGAAGATAGCTAACCACAATTGTTACCATGAGTTTACCTTTTGAAGTTTTGTTTGCTTTGTACCAGGAAAGGCTACAAATGACATGGTTTTTGTCATCAGTTTACTCAAGCTTGGTGACTCTGAGCAGCTATTCTGGTTTTATTTAACCAGCCTGTGACAAGCACTTGGAAGATAGCTTGTAGAAATTAGCCTTGGGGAGTTTGAAGCTGCTTCTTTGGGAGTCCAATTCTTCTCTAGTCCTTTCTTTGCTTACGTGCCCTGATGGTAAGGAAGATCCCACTCTCAACTTTCCTCAGTTGTTCCTATAAGCTCTGAAGATCCATGGGAAAAACATGGTTCAAATACTGTAGTGCACCGAAAGTGTTTCCTTAACTTTGTAGACTACTACGCTGCTCTTTAGTATGTGCCTAAAGACCATAGGGTATATCAGAGCACTGGCGTGAGAACCAAGAGCAAAGGCCTCAGATTCTTTTTTAACGACTCCAGTTTATTTTTTACTTTAGGCTTTCTAGAAAGAAATGTGTTTTTTTTTTATGTGTCCATGTTTATCTGTCTGTGTCTGTGTATGCCCACATGTGTGCAGGTGCCCGTGGAAGCCATAAAAGGGGCTTAGGATCCTCTGGAGCTGGAGTACAGGCAGTTGTGAGGCCACCTGATATGGGTGCTGTGTGTAAAACCCTGCTCCTGTGGAAAGGCTGTGGGCATTCCTAACCTTGAGACTTTTATGCTGTGGGATGTTCTGTATGTCCTGTGGGAGCCCGTTCTTGGGTTCCTCGTGGCTTTACCCAGAAGGTCCGCATAGGGGATGATTAGGACCACGGGCCTGAGTGCAGGTGTCTGAGATGGTCTGCACTTGGCTGTGCTGGGGGATGGTCTGTATGTCAAATTGCTCTGATTGGTCAATAAATAAAACCTAATTGGCCAGTGGCTAGGCAGGAAAAATAGGCAGGACTAACAGAGAGGAAAAATAAAAGAACAGGAAGGCAGAAGGAGTCAATGCCAGCCGCCACCCTGACAAGCAGCATGAAAAGATGCCGGTAAGCCACGAGCCGTGTGGCAGGGTATAGATTTGTGGGAATGGATTAATTTAAGATATAAGAACAGATAGCAAGAAGCCTGCCATGGCCATACAGTTTGTAAGAAATATAAGTCTGTGTGTTTACTTGGCTGGGTCTGAGTGGCTGTGGGACTGGTGGGTGACAAAGATTTGTCCTGACTGTGGGCCAGGCTGGAAAACTCTGGCTACACTTTTATGTACTGTAGTTATTACAGCAACCAGCATTTGTCTTGTTATTTTAGAATGGATCAAAAATGTTTGCATATACTAGATCTTTAAACAATCTTCTGACTTAATTTTCTAGGTATTTTCTAAGAATAACCTAAGAACTTTATTATTTTCAAATAAAGTACACTTTAGAAGTATCCTTATGAATTACTATAGGAAAGACAAATGTAAATAGAAAATATAAATCTAAACACCTACATATTGCAATTTGAGGAAGAGAGGCTACAAAATCGTCTTATATAGTGAAGTCAGAGGAAATCTGGTAAAGGAATAGATTGACCATGATAGTGATAATTTCCCTCCACACTTCATGTGACACTATTTCATCCATCTGAGGGAGGGATTCTTGTACCAGTGTCACATAGCAGATCATTCTGCATCCATCCTAAAATCAATATGGGTTCCTTATATAGCATTATGAATCTATTTATCTTTTCTACAAGATTCTATAACTTATCACAACACATACTTCTCTTGTCTGCCTAATTGAGGCACTTTGAGCCATTGGTAAATGTTTCATTACCTGGAGTCTCAGACAGAATGGCCCAGAACAAACATGGATGAACATAGCACCCCAATTTAGAGATTTATGATATTACAGCTTATTGGACTCATGTATATTCCAGAAACTCCAGTCTTTGTGACATTCATCTTACTGTAAGTTTTGACTAGGGATCAATGACAATGAAGATTCTTTGATATGCATTCTGTTAAAAAATTACAGAATCTTTCCTTATTCTACCATTCTTTCTTTGACCTATATCCACTAGTTTGTTTTTGTTTGCTTTGTTTCCTCTTTTCCTCAAATTTTACTGGATTTTGAAAATGTTTTCTCTTAGTTTGCATTGTTTTGAATATTTAAATGCACAAAATTTACTTTAAATTAATAAAATGTATTGGGCAGAATATTAATTTCCAAATCTATCTTTACTAATACATTCCTTTGTAGGAACCCATGGCTCATAAAAATCAACCTTATGCACTTTAGAAATAAATCATTTGGGATTATTCTTAATGGCCCTGGCTCTGTGACTTTTATCACATGGTCAAGATGCCCTCTTTTTTACTAGGCTGATGTATCTCAAATACAACATGAAGCAGAATTATAGAGCTGCAAAGAAGTACACTTTCACAGTGCCAAAGAGTGTTATGAGGAAAGTTTCCAGTTCACCACAACTTCTGAGCCAAGATTTACTCCTGATGAACAAATTATGAGATGAAATTCCAGCCATTCTTTCTCTACACATGATTCTATATAAATGCCAATTGTTCTTTTTCACTTATCTGTTGGGCTCATGAATT